AATATATGTGTACATATTATGGCGTGTACGAATAAAGGATGACATTATTTCATTTTTAAATTCTTTTATAACTGCAAACGTAATTGGGAAAATATTTATTTTAATATTATTAAAATAACAATTCATATGGGGCTTATTGCATTTTAAACGAAGAAGCTTCGTGTAATAGGTATAACAATGGCAATTGTCACTTGTTTGCTGATTTGCCCCTTATGAGCATTAGTGCTACCACAAAAACTTTAAAATAATAAATCATGGAAATTACTGAACAAAGCATAATGAAACTTATACGCAATATACGAATGTCTAAGAAGCAAGCATTTTCCTAATAATGTTAAGTGAATGAAGTCCCTAACCCTATACTTCAACCTTTACTTGAAATTGTCTGTGATTGCCCGTTCTGTTTTTTTTTTTTTGCGAAAATCTCGTTAATTTTTCTTTAGACCTTGATTTGCGTATATTATAGGTATTAGGTTTTCACCAAAATCGGCTTAGTAGTTTTCTAGAGAGATTCTTTATAAACACATATCGCGAAAATGTTCGTATCCCCTAAAATATAAATAAAAAACCAACATTATCTTTACATAACGTCTTAAAGAAGCAGGCTGCTAAATGTTGACAGTTGTATGTATGTATACAGATCCTTTAATGTATGTTAGTATGTTGCAAATTGTCGTAACACTATATTTTATCCCCGAATTCATGCACAAAACAAGTAAGTGCGGTGTCGTACGTTGCAGTAACGTTATCATAATAGAACGCGACCTTTGGGAATTACCTCGCGAAAGTATCACCGAAGTCCGCAACACATAATATATTCTTTTTTAGAGGTTTTTTTACGAAAATTTGCTCCTTAAAAAACATTTTTTTGCAACATTATCTTGGTGCTAACTTTGATAATTTCCCTCCAGACAATATGAAATTAATTTATGTTATACTACCCCAAAAATGTATAGATAACTAAATAATTTTTTTGCGCAGATTTTGCTCGATAATGAAAACCATCTATCTATTCATGCCAATAGACCACCATAGACGGGGCCTTACAGGACTGATGTTCAGCCGGGGTTGAGGGAGAAGCGCAAGGACGAACCGCGTGCCTAGATCAGGAGTACGAACGTGGGATTGTTTTAGTCAGTAAGAGTCTGACACTCCCTCTCGCTCGACCCTGGGCGGGAGAAGTCATTTGATTATTTTCCCGTCACAAAAAAAAACTAACTATTCATTCAGATGTTTACACAATTATATAATCCATTTTCACTTCTTTATTTCTCCTCAAATCATATTTTTTTATTTCTATATTTATATTCTACAACTATGAAGTTTAATTATATTTTACCAACCTGGAAACGAGAGCCTAAGGGCCTATTGTGCTTACCAGTCAGCTTAATAATCACGCAACTAACAGCGTTCTACATTTATAATAACCGGTTTCGTAAACCCTTTTAAAACCCATTTCTTTCTTTTAATATTCTTCTAACAAGATGATTATATTCGTCCACTTCAACAAAAGGTCAACCCTTTAGACAGTACGATATCCTTTTCTTTAATTAATGTTGCAATGGTGGCAAAAATCTTTCTTATCTATAGTGCTTTATATGTATACATAAGCATATATAACAGTATGCATATACCAAGGTATGACTGTTTTGTTATCAACGTTATCAAGCCAAGATAGTGTGAGCTTGATAAGCCAGGAGTTTCAAAATTATCATACAAAAAGCTTTGTTATATTTAGTCATAAATCAATGAATGCTGCTATGGAACAGAAATAGAAAAAGAGCAATGAAAATGGAACATGATGATAAAAGTAAGTACCTACCTGTCTTCTGATACTATAAATTGCATAAACCTAGCTATTTCTGTATTTCTCAGAATAGGAGAAGCTTGCGCGTGAATGCGGGATATGACGCAATAATTGGACACATTTTTTCAGAATATTCGTGATGAATACATTCGCGCTTTCAATCTACGGATTATTTTATTGATTCGTTTATATGTAGATGCCTACTTTCGTTGTGTTTCCCCTTCTAATACAAGAATTAAAAGTAAGTTAATAGTAAATTAATATATTAAAAGACTTCATAAACATGTTTATGGAGTCTTTAAATATATTTAAAGTATTAAAATATTTCTCATTGAAGTATAGCTTTGTACTACCCAAAGGAAAACTAAATCATCGAGTTCCTTTAATTCCATAGTGCAGACAAATAAAGAACAATAAGATTAGTTTTGTTATTGTAGTAGAGAAAAACACGTACTAAGTAACGTTTCTAGTTTCACCCTTTCCCAAGTTTATTGAACCGGGGAAATTTAAATACGTCTAGCGGGTAATAGGTATAATATTCATAATTTACGGCGTCCGTTGGCCCGGCACACCTCTCTTAAGCAATAGCCGGGAACATGGCTCAATTACTTATTTTTATAAATGGTAATACTATGTCGGTCGATAGCCAACTACATTTATCGCACTATAGAGTTTTTGACTCTTTTTACTAGGTGTTGCGTGGCGTCTGCGTAGAAGTAGGCACCATTGTAATTAATTGAGGTTATAATAATAGTAGGACGTTTAAAGATGGCTGACAAAGATTTTAGCAATTATTTGCGAAAATATTTATCTCGAAGCCTAGACAGATAGATAATACGTTTTCCGTTGATTTGTTTTTAAAATATATCAATAATAGTTTTTATATTTTTACTTTCAAGTTGACAAACTTGATAATATAATACGGGATTCAAAAACTTAAAGAAAGACTTTCTAAATCAAAGGTTTTGCCACTAGTAAACTGTTCCAGAACAATATTACAGAAGAAAATTGAGGAAAGTAAACAATATAATACGGTTTGTGTGATAAGGAAAATGGGTATACGGCGTCCGTGATAAAGAGTGACGTTTGGTAAACATTATAGTGTGGACAACGTTTCATCATCGCCAGCATTGACAGTGATATCGGCATTAGGTACACTTTACTTTACACAAAATCCCTTCCATATGTGTGGGTCACTTATATAAGAACATATACATACATAACTGTACTCCATCATGTCAACCGATAGAAGGCACAAAAAATGTATTAATTTCAGTTCAATGGGTAAGTATGAAACTCCCCGCGCTGAAAGGGGCGCGTCGTAGAGCCCGCGTTTTATTATCACATAAAACCGATAGTTTCCATGTGTAAAGCGCTGACACATCATGTATTGTATTGCAAAAGGCTCCAGCCAGGTCAAACGACTCTCATACCCACGATAAAAATAAACTAAACATATAAATAACCTTATACAGCACCCCTTTAAAAGAAATAAACTAAACATTTTTATAAAATAAACCCGCATTTTCACTAAGAAAAAAGCAATACTTGAGTCGGCTAAGCAAATTGATACAAATCTCAGTAAGCCGCCTCGGAATGCGATGGAAAATTGACTTGTTAAGTCGATGCAGATGCAAAATGCGCACCACAAGGGTTTACTCGAAAATGTATTCAAATTAGAACAAAATAAAACAGCTTTCAGATTTTTCTACTATTTTCGATACGTTTTATTTTCATTATACAAATATATATTCTATAGATGATAAGATAAGGTTTAGTTTTCATACTTTTCTTTTAATATAAAAGAAGTTTCATTTGGTTGAAACTAAATCGAGGCTGTAAAAACGTGCTGCAAGAAGATTAACTATGCAGCGTCTTGAGTTATAGCTCAGCTCGACAGAGGTATATATAAAAGTCCATATAATTAAAAAATGGATGCTTGCTCAAACAAGAAAATAATATGCAGGGTTATATTTAGCTCGATGCATTAAGCATAAATATTAATCTGCAGTGGGTGGTGTTTCCCTGAACCATTCATTCATAGATTTAATTATTTATTAGTACTGAATATTTAAATGCGTCAGTTCTATGAATGGTTATTTTCAATGTTTGTATTACTATTTCGCCTGCGCAGTGTAATGGGAAATTCAATACAATGATAAAATTTTCTGAGGATTTTTTTAAACTTCCCTTACGCGCGTGGCTTCACTTGTTTTATGAAAGGAGAAGAGTAGTAGTAATAATATAATTATGTTTTTTCGAAGTATTTTTCAGTCAAAAGAACCCAAAACAAAACGCTCCGTTGCGACAGAAAGACAAACAAACACCCATATGTAATATTAGGTACTGAAAATATTCGAAATATTTAAGGCGTAGTTACATCATTTCCATTGAGGAAGTAGGTATTGGAAGATATTTATCAAAAATGTTAAAGATTCTAAACTAAATTTTAAATAATTTTAACCACCTTTAGGTGTATTATGGGATTTAATAAACTTACTGAGTATTGAGTACATCCTCGTTCTAAATTACATGGAATGAAATAAAATGTCGAAATGTAAAAACTCGAAAAATTATTCCGATAAGGAAACCTTTTCAAAAATTATGTGAGAAAAAAATCACAATGTATACCGTCGCGATGTTATCGTAGAGATGAAGTCGAGCCGAAGGTAAATTGCAGAAAATTGCCTTCCCTTTTCTTAGATAACGAGTTCCCTAAAAGTGGGGTTCGTCGTATGAACGTAACGCATTTTGCGAACGATAAACGATAAGAAACTTATTAATATGACGCGCAACACAACGCCTATTTTAATATTTTATCAGCGAACAAAGTGAGTGAACACGCACATTAGATTATCTTAAACAAACTGTGATACTGAAGAGCTTAACAAATACTTTGTTATAGAATACATTAAATTGTATCAGACCCCTATTTAATAAAAAATAGATTGTGTTTCTTCTAACATGACCTTTCGCTCGTAATTGTATGCGTAGTATTAAAATATTATAAGTTGTCGTAGCCAACCCAAACAAAACAGCTACGAGCGCTACGAGACGCGCCCGCCTTCATAGACGGTGCTACGAAGTTAATAAAGGCTACGAATATTTTGTGAGTAAGAATTAAGTCGTATTAAATTATGATTTGTTCATTATTTATTTATTTTACAATATTATAAACAAATTGTATCATCACCTGTGGGGTCTCCGCTCCTCCTCATGATCTTCTTTCATAAACGACGGCTGCAGACTGAATCTGCGTCGGAACTGGTGACGACCCTTCATATTGGCAATCGTTAATTCACTTAGCACATACTAGGTAGAGCGGTAGTTAGTTCACAGCGCAATGTTTAAGTGCGTGTGCCGAGAGGCGCGCTGGGGTAGGTAAACGTCGCGACGTGCGCGGCTCGGGGCTGTCGCAGGACGAATGCCGCTGCCCAGCCGCTACGCCGCGCGTCCCCGACACCACTCACCGTGCTACATCTACGGACGCATTTATTCAAAATACTTACCCAAATTATTTCACGTTTTGATTAACATTCATTAACTAAATCTCATTACTTACGGGCAAACACGGATTATCAAATTGATAACCTCGTTAATTGAGTTTCCAGCCATTCAAAGTGAATATTGAAGATATTAAATCATGAACCAATAAATGTCTGTGCTTGGAGATTTCTTTGTCGCTGTCAAATCAAAATTGAAATTCTATTGCAATAAAGTGTATCGATCGGGCTCAAACGATAGCATTGAGCCAATCAATATGCAATAAACGAAACATCTGATAGTCACGTGATACGATGATAAAAGCCTGTCTGTATCTATTAAATTGCGTTTGCAAAAAGTCGAATTTGCAAAAGAGGTTTCATTCAGCAATTTTATTTAGATTGCTAAATGTATAGTTTTGGATGGACATTCAGAACAATGCATGTATTTAAACATTTTACAAACTTCGAATTATTATGCAGACTTTTGCTTTCACGAAGCAGGCATATCCATCTTAATTTTGTACCTCGCGAATGACAAATCTCTCGAATTCTAGGAAACGGGTAATAAAATTACTGTCATGGGTTCCATAGGTACGACGTATGAAAAGATCTTATCACTGCTTTGCGTTTTCGAAAACCTTTGTGGAGTTTTGGGTTCTTTTCAAATAAATACTTGTGAAGAGGGAATAAGTACTTAGAGGAGGGTTTCTACAGGTAGCTACATATCTATCTACGTAGGTATGGATAAGTCCGCCTGTTGCTGCGCCCAACCTCCTCCCCGTAATAAGGAGAGTGTTCGAGATCTTTGAGTAAACTTTCTTTAAGATTTGTTATGATTTAGTATTGTTCGTCTTAAGAAAATGGTGTCAATGTACCTACTCTACATTTATTTGTATTTATAACCTTACAATACGACTAAAATTAGTAAAACTTTAATGTAATAAGTATAGGTCCCGTTATTTCACTAATGTGGGAACATTACCCTACCTATGTAGTTACCTACTTTCTCTACTTACCCTACCTACCCTATCCTACTTACCCTACACAACCTACCCTGACCTACCTACTCTACCCTATCCTATCCTTTCTGGGTCTAAACTATCTCCACAAATTCTCAACAAAATCGTTTTAGCCGTTCGAGAGTTACAAATAGTGAAGCTAACACGACTTTTTTTAATATACATATAGACATTAAACATATTACTGTAGGCAAATCCATCGTCAAATAACACAATCCCTTCTTGTTAATAACTACGACGTACTTAATTCATGTCGTGGTGACCCGGAGGTTAAGAAGCCCGCTTCTCATGCATGAGGGCGTGGGTTCGAGACCTGGCAAGTACCAATGTGACTTTTTCCGAGTCATATGTATGTACTTTCTAAGATTATTTAGACATTACTGACATACTAACCGAAACCTTCTCCGTATGAGAAGAGGCCTTTGCTCAGCAGTGGGTACTTATAGGCTGATGATGATGACTTAATTCATATACTAACAGATAGAAGGTCCGGAACAGGAAAGGAACCTCCTAAAATCTCGTTATCAACATTCAACATCTATAACTATAAATAGGCTATATATGTATGTATGTAGCTTAAGAAACATGTTTTCAAATATATTACAACCTCATTCCATTGTCATCAAAAGATGGGATTTTTATTGCAAACTTCCAAACGCAAGGGAATCATAATAGAAAGAAAGAAATTTCCTATGAGTGCCTGTGCGTGTTGAAAATACTTAAGGAGTTAATATAATATATGTACATAATATATAAGAAAGGTTAATCTTACATCCACAATTTGTGTGCAGCAATCTTATTTATCTATACTAATATTATAAAGAGGTAAAATTTGTAAGTTTGTATGTAGGGGGTAATCTGTGAAACCACTGGTCGGATTCCCAAAATTCTTTCACTTATTGATAGCTACAATGTTCCCGAGTGCTATAGGCTATAAAACGTCACGCTACAATCAAATGGAGCCGAGCAGCGTGTGAAACCGCGCGGTAGTAGCTATTAGCAATAAACTCATTTTGATTGACTTGTATATAGGAATTCATTATAAAAATAGATGTATTGTTCAGTGATGTTATAGGTAAGTGTGGTAACGTAATAAAAGAGCTTATTTGTTTTTTTTACGACATCATGCAGTAACGATGAACATTGAACATTACTTTTTTTTCAGTGCTATGAACTAAATACATGAAATGTAAAAGAAACAAATTGGTACTCGCGAGTTGATGGATTGTTTGGTATAAATATTATAAAGATCATCATCATCAGCTTATAAGTGCCCACTGCTCAGCAAAGCCCTCTTGGCACCCGAAGAAGGTTTAAGCATTTATCACTACGCTTGCTCGTGATTGGCAATTTGAGACTTATATTTAGGTAGTAGTATTAAGCCCAAGTTTCCTTACGATGTTTACCTTTGCCGTATGTCAGTGGTTTATTAAATAATCTTAGAAAGTAAATATAATTTGGATAAAGAGACATTGGCACTTGCTAAGTTTCGAATCCGCAACTCATGCATGAGAAGCGGGTGCCTTAACCTACAGGGCAAATTATTAGGAGAGATTATTTCAATTTTCAGTTAGACGGAGTCTTGAAATGTTCTCGGAAACAATATATTTTGTTCTTAGACATAAATCTTACTGAGAAAAGGTAGGTTCTTTGTGATTCTGCTAAATACTTTAGGTAAAGAAAGCGTGTTACAATATTATGGCTATTCATTATGAGTAATTTCACGAGTCGCTAGTACCGCAATATGTTAAAATCCCTGCGTTGAAAACACGCAGAAAAATGTAAGATATATTTTTGTTAAGAGCCCACCGTTTTCACGCTTATGAGCAATTTCGTGTTTCTTTTTAGGGTTCTCTATCCTCTAAGTTAATAATATCTACATATTTAAAAATGTTCTTTATTGACACTATATCAAAGGTTATTAATCCATACCCAAATGCTGTTGACGAAAGATAACTACATTACTTTATTTCCAATTATTGGATAATGTTGATTTATGTCTGTTTATCCAATCGGAATCGGCAGTGCTCCAACGACGTTAGGGAGCTTTGAAATGAGGGTTCATATAGGTCTCATACACAATTTTATCTAGACCTTTGTCCGCTCCGTAACTCGTTATCCCTCGATAATGGCAGCCGTTTTCCCAAATCTAGAAACTAGTTCTAACAACAAAAGTCTTCGGCTTTTTACCAAAAAAATGTTTATACTTAAATTCCATAAAAATAAGTATTCAGCTGTTCATGACAACACTTGCCAATATATCATTGTTATGTTCACAAATAAAATATTTATGACCACAAGACATAACGAATTTCTTCTGCTTTAGGCGAGTACTTAGAATAATGATGTTTTTCTCCCAAGCTTCCAGTACCTGTCTCGGTTATTTGATCGTAATGAGGATTTTACAACTTTGTAGGCGTAGGACTTAACATTTAAGGACTTTTTCGTTTCGCTCGCTTTAATAAAAAATGTGAAGATTCCCTTCGCCCAAAGGTCATATTTTCAGCGACACTGCCATTCAAAAGTGTATTTGTTTTGTGTCATCCTACAGAGTACAGGGGCCGAGCTACCGAGTACTAGAATACACTGTTGACGATGTCATTAAAAATGTTTAATCAAAGTCAAAGCTGACCCTAAATAAACAATTAAAACGTTCGGTTGTATGAAGGTGTTGTCAAACACAACTTGATGAAACAAGTGAATTAGGGTGTCTTCCGCAAGTGGTCGTATGGAGACGAAGGGGTGAGGCGCTGGAGGGCCGAGAATTGCAAATTAGGCTCGTGAGGAGCGCGGGGAGTGGGAGGGAGACGCCCTGCTCAGGTCGGTCGTCGGCGCGAAGAATAACGCTCAACAAGTGAGGAACTAACCCTTCGTGACCACAGACTTGGGACTGATACATTTAAGATATAGTCACTTATAGTTTTATGTATTAATTGTCTATCTGTTGTTTTTTCCTATTCATTCATGTAACACAGTATTAAGATTTTTAGTACCGTACTCCTTACGACAGGTTCAGTACGCATAGACCAACAAATACAAATGTAAGATCTTATAAATGAAAAATATAACAAACGCCTATCAGTTTTTTCTACAAATAGTAATTTTTAGGTAGGTATTATTTATAAATAATTTCACATCATAATAAAATTACGCCGAGTACTATTCGGCTAAGCGCATCGACCAGGTATTTAAAAGAACTTAATAAATTAAAAGGTATACATATACAAAAGGTTGCTTATTCGAAAAGTTTGGTGTGGCTCGTAACTCCAGCTTACTGCTCCATATTGAACTTAGTTAATAGGTCCCGTTACTATTAAACAACATTAGGTAATCCATTAACAAAGTTAGTTAATTATACCTACACAGGTAACTTGCATGGCTCTCTCTTACTTAAGCTGCTTATGTCCAATATTACATTTTATTTAAAGAAGTTTTAAGAGTGCGAGAGCGAGAATCGACATCGAATTCTGACGACTAAAGGTACATATTATCCTACGACCTTCGGCATCCTCGACCAGATTGATACCTGACCTGGAATAGTTATAGAGTTGACCAAACACTAAAGGCCGGTAATGCTATCGTACTTCCTCTGGTGTTGCGTGTGTCCATGAGCGGTGTCGATTTACTTGCCATAGGTTAAAAAGGCTGATCGTATGCTGCCTAATCTTATAAAAAAAAATCAAGCACATTATATCTTATTTTTCGAATATTTGCATCAGAACACACACATTTGTAATAACAGCCATTCTATGTTAGGTTTGAAGGCATACGAAATATTTGTATCAAAATAATAACAAACACCATCATCCCAGATTCATTACGATTACATTTTTTTGTAATGTCCAAGCAAAAATAATATCGCTTTGTTTATTTTTACTTTCTCAAAAAACTCATTACAGCTTTTGTAATTAAAAAACT